AGCTGATCGATTTTATATCTTCAAATCAGCAATAAGTTCATTCCATATGCACCATACCATGGTGCAAGGGCCCGCTTGGAATTGCTCCATTTATTATTATTTCCCCCCCTTTTTCTTTAAGATGGAATATTTGGTTCAATTATTTTTCATTATTCTTTATTGCAATGTTTGTATTTTTTTTTAAGTGGGAAAATGAATAGGGAAGAGACTTCCAGAACCAAGGCCTTAAGCGGTTGGTCACTGTTGTGCTCTGTACATCTATACATCAGGAAGCGGCCTCTGTTTTTATGTACTTTATTGCCGCCACTATAACACTATCAGGGTAATCTACTTTTAGATTTGTACATTTTATGATTGCATTTATTTTTATCTTACTCTATAAACACTCCTGTTTATGGTACCGCGTGTATGAGTGTTTTGGTTGCTGACTGCTATCCATGTTTTCCATGGAAAATAAATGTGACATTAATTAAAACCTGAATGCGTTTCTTTCAGACGTGTCTTGCATTACAGTTAACATTCAATGAAATCACCTACAACAGCACCATTTATGACTGGGAGCATATTGTAGTACATACTGGGTCAGTTTTGCTTTCATGCTGACTTTAACATGCAATACCTCAGTGATAGCTTTGTTATCATAAACTATATCTGGCAAGCGCATGTTTGTTGCAAAGAGACCATTAGAAATAATTTGAAATCAACTTTGTGCACAAACATCATAAAAGAATGGATTCACAAGTGTTGAGGAAAAAATGTTATACTAAAAGGGAACATTTTAATAATTAGCACATTAGCTATTCCCAGTGAAAATCAAAAACACTGATTGCACTTGTAAGATGTTATCAGATTAGTAACTCTCATGCTATCCAACCAAATTACACGCCAAATAACTAAACAACACAAAGTAACTCGCTAAACCTGCTCATAGCACATTCTTGACTGGACCGGTCTAAACCCTGAAGCCTGAATTTGTTCACATTTTTCACAAAGTGACTAGTTAGCTGTTGACAGCCAGAGAACATGAAAAAAAAAAAAACCACGAAGAATATAAGTTTTTGTGCTATTGGAATGTTCTGTGTGGAACGTTAAATGTTCTATGCAAAAATAAATTTAGGTTTTGTTTTGTAATAAATGTAAGAAATCTTAGCTAGCTACGCTGTATAGGTAGGTAAAGTTAATAGACAGTTTCTAAAAAGTGCATTAACACTGTCAAGTATTTGGGTAAATTGCACTATTCAGAGAAAATTTAAAATAAATTATTGGATTGTAAAAATCCCAGTGTTAATGGTTGCAGCTTATGCTAATTCCAGTGTTTATACTATTATTTTACTATTAAAATTAGCTGGTTGAATATTGAATATTTTAAAGTTAGTATCTTTGGTTTTTGGCGTTGGTTTGATTTAAAATGTTATGCATAACAGGATTGTTTGAGCTGGAAGACTTTACTAGTGCAGGTCACTGGGCCATATGAGAATAAGAGTACTTGCACGGATACAATTCTGATTATGTCTGCAACATTCTCACTGTAAACCATCATTAAGAGGCTTTGTTTTGTCACACAGAAAAGCCAACTGCACAGACAACAGTTTCAGTGAATGCAGTCTGTACCTAACTTAGCATAACTAGCATTCCACTCAGGAATAAACAACAGTTCCTCTCAAACCATAATGTGTACTTTTACAACGCAAGATAGACAGTTTGATATGGTAGTGCTCAGACGGTCTTGTGGTTGAAAGAAGATATCACAGTTAGCACATTCCACACATCCTAAAAGAAAAAAGAGGATTTTCAATAAACGTCCCTTAAAGGGGTCATATGATGCTGCTAAAAAGAACATTATTTTGTGTATTTGGTGTAATGAAATGTGTTTATGCGGTTTAAAGTAAAAAAAAACACATTATTTTCCACTCTTTGGATTTGAGACTTTAGTCTTTGCAACTTTACAGATCTTCTTTATGCACCAAGAGCTTGTAACACTCCAAAGAGAAAGGAAAAATTGAAATCGCATCATATGACCCTTTTAAGGACTGTCTAAGATGTCTACATTGAGTGTGGTCAGAAAGAAACAACACATTTCATAATCATGTCTGACTGAAAAAAAGGTCATGTTGTGGTTGAAATCATCCGAACACAGAGATTTTAAATGACAACTTCCGCAAGGGTCTTAAAATGAACAATAGCAGACCCGAACGCAGATCATGTGACCTTGGTGTGACCAATGCTTGGTCAATCGTCTTTCACACATCTTATGTAATTTCTGGGAACATTTAGGTAACTGAAATGCTTGAACTTTGACATTTCCTGAAATGGACTTTGGTGGTGAGTTATGACGACTTGACGTCAAGGTTAGAATCTGTCAGTGTGCACAACGAGCACAAATGTCAATGGGAGACGGCCAACCTGTAAACTGATGAGTTGATTTGAGTTATTATATGCTGTTGTTATAGACTTTTAAATGGATGCTGAAGCTTTTAGGCCAGGTAGAATCTGCGATCTCTGATCCGTTCATTGCTCGCTTCTATGGCTGCAGTACGCTATGTTTGCTGCAAACTAGGCTGCCAATTCTAGTGGGTTTTCTGCATCTTTTTCAGGTATTGCATTAAAGGGGCTTGCTGCTCTTCTTAGCTGCTTATAAAGAAGAGCACCCCTTCGCTGCCTTCTCCTGTAAGTTGCTGCTGCCCCAGTCTCTGTTATTCCAGAAGGATATGCTTCTTTCAGAATGCCATCGGTTGTGGTTTGGGCGGTTCTGGCCTATCGTTGTGTTGGGGGGGTCCAGGCCTATCGTTTGTGTTGGGGGGGTTATTATTGCTGCTCTCCCTGCTCATTCATGACAGGCTGCATGGATGGGCAGGGAGGTTTTTGCCCAGAACAGAACCATACCGCCAAACCAAACTTTATGCTAAGTATCTATCATTTTGACGATAGTGGTCCTGACAGAAATTAAGCGTTAGTGTTAGTTCTGGCAGGTCACGTGAGTCCAGCTTGCATCAGCTGATTCTCAGCTGATCATATCTACCTATAGGAATACGACACCTATCGCGGCATTCCTATATAAGCTCTATTCAGTATTATTCAGCAGCTTTTCAGCTTGCTCCGGAGCAAATTACCCTCCTCCATCCCCAGCTCCTCCTTTCGCCACAGTCAGGACTTGGCTTTCTGATATTCCTTGCTAATCAGACTCCTTTATCTTGAATAAAGTGTTACACTTAAATATCATTAAGTACATTAATGATATCTGCCTTGTTCTGTTCTGTTAACCCTAGGGGGGTTATTATTGCTGCTCTCCCTGCTCATTCATGACAGGCTGCATGGATGGGCAGGGAGTTTTTTTGCCCAGAACAGAACCATACCGCCAAACCAAACTTTATGCTAAGTATCTATCATTTTGACGATAGTGGTCCTGACAGAACTGCTATTTTCATTAAATGAAAGTAAATGGTGACCAAGACTTTTAACCTTCAAAGGTTTTAAATGGTTTTTAAAGTTTAATTGCTTGACTTCTCTTAAGCACAGCATTTTTAGAATGCAGTGTCAACGATCAAACAATGGTGAAATATGTCCATCTAGCGTGCAGGGCAATGCAAAAATCATCAGCAGGTGGTCATTTTTGCATTTAAAACCATGATACACAGGGCAGTGGCATGAAAAACCATCTGGATATGTACTTTTTAATAAGGTCAACTACTTTCAGCAACACAAGACACTGTAGAATACACTAGATGTACATACAATGGTCAAATGCTTCTGTCAGTGATATGCAAAAATGTAAGACGCAGGGCACTGGAATGTTTTTTTTTTAAGTCCAACTTCTTTTAACTTGAGAGCTGCATTTTTACAATGCAATGGCATGTGTGAGACACTGCAAAAGACACAAGTGCAGCAAAATTTGAAATGTGGAATGCAAAAATGTGCTTTATGACATCAAATGGCATTAGTTTTTGTGTTCTGTGACCAGCTGAAATGTACATTTAAATATATATGCTCAAATCACACAAATGAAAGAATAGCATCTTAAATAGTGAAGAATAAATAAGTACTTACAGTCAGTAAAGGGATAGTTCACCCCCCAAAAAAAATTCTGTCATTGTTTACACACATTGTCATTCCATCTTATTCCAAACCTGACTTTTTTCTTTTACAGAGCACAAAAGAAGGTAATGTGAAGGAAAATTACAGTCCAAACTATTTTGGACCCCATTAATATTCACAATGTTAAAAAAAAAAAAACTCAAAAACACATTCGCTCACATTTTCTTCACAGATCTAGTTATTTAAATCTGTCATCATGTTTGAGATGGTTTTTGAAACGGAGCCAGACTTGAGCGTTTTTGTAGTGACTTAATGTTGATATGATTGTTTGATAACCCCTGATAAATTGCTTCATAGTTTCATTGGCAGGAGCTTTTGAATTCCTGCCATATACAAGAGGCCATAAAAACCCATCAGTCTTTGGCACACAGACTCACACATGCAGGCACAATGTGTTTGTGTCTCACGTCCAAACTATTTTGGACCCCATTAATATTCACAATGTTAAAAAAAAAAAACTCAAAAACACATTCGCTCACATTTTCTTCACAGATCTAGTTATTTAAATCTGTCATCATGTTTGAGATGGTTTTTGAAATGGAGCCAGACTTGAGCGTTTTTGCAGTGACTTAATGTTGATATAATTGTTTGATAACCCCTGATAAATTGCTTCATAGTTTCATTGGCAGGAGCTTTTGAATTCCTGCCATATACAAGAGGCCATAAAAACCCATCAGTCTTTGGCACACAGACTCACACATGCAGGCACAATGTGTTTGTGTCTCACATCAGGCTGTGCTTCCCTGTCTTTTGTTAACATGGCTGGAGGGAGTGACACGTTTAACTTGCATATAGTCAAATGGTCAATGCCACTGCGAGGAAACCTCAATGATGTTTCTCTGCAAGAATTTTTTTTTTTTAATCATTCTATAAAGATATGCTATATACTATACATAAATGACCTTTTTGTTTCAGAAGAAAATATGAGTGTAGTTTGCTGGTATAAAACTTGTCACCACAGTGCTTGGGTGGTTTCCAGAGCATTGCTGTGTTATTACTTCAGTGTTTTAGGCAGTTGCTATACTGGCCCAAGTCCAAAGAGAATAATATAATATAATATAATATAAGCATCACTGATAATATATATATAATTGGATATAATAGGACAGTCATTCTTTAAGCACAAAATCCTCTATCTTTTAATCATTAATTTAGTTTAGTAGGCATTTTCCTAGTTTTCCTTGGTAATAATTTTACCAAAAAAATATTTATATAAAAAAAAAAATGTTAAAAAAAATTGAAGAAATAAAAAAAAAACACAAATGAGACAATTGCTGGCATACAATAAGAGCACAAAGCTGTAAAATGGATATGGATAGCATAGCTCACATAACTTGCTTTTGGAACAGTTAATTGAGAAATGTTTGAGTTCATCTTGAGAAGTCCAACTTTTGACTGAGACTCAGTACAGTTTCTTTCTTCTGAAACTCCAGAGAAGATGCGTGTGAAATTTTCAGCCTTATTTTTCTTGGTAGAAACATCTAATTTGTGTTTGGAAAAAGCAAATATTAAAGATACTAGATATCGATATTAAAGTGATTTCATTTTCCCCCCCTTTTAGATAACATTCATCAAAGCCTTATCCTTCTGACTGGCTCAATGGAAACATGGTTTAGTTAATATTCAATGACCTACTGATTTTATTTCTCCTTGCGTCATTCTGCTCTCTCTCTCCCTCTCTCCCTTCCTCCCTCATTCAGTTTGTTGGTTTTCGTCCATTGTTGACGGTCTCTAGGCTGCTCTTTGATCTCCCACATGATGACTGATAGCACCTCAGCCCCTGCAAAGTTCCCGATGCCCTCGAGACATTGTCCACTGTTTGTGAATCAAGCAACAGGACTGCCTTTGTTGCACAAACCAAACCATTGATCATGTGTTGGTGTATTCTGAAACACGCAAGCTAAACATTGACCAGCCGCAAGTCAATTGCTTATCATCACCCCTTTCACCCGAAGTGTGCTGTCATGTGCTGGTTCATTCACAAAAGATATAGGCTATGCTAAACTGATGAAAGAGTTACTCGGGATCTTGCGGTTTCAGTGAATCACTGGGGATCTGCCAGGTTTGAATGGGTAAAGCTCTACACTTCATTGAAAAAATGACCTGGCGTAATTATAACCATTAAAACTACACTTTCTTATTTCTTAATGGGGTTCTTCCAGAAATTTAAGTAAGAGGTCCCATGCTAGATGTTTTGGGTACTGTGAGACACATATCTTCATTGCGAGCAGGTGAGGAACTCTGTGTCCTTGGCGCTGAATAACCCACTTAAACGCAGGATTAGCTGTTCTGGATCAGAACCCAGCAGGATGGTTTATGACATGTTCAGACCGGAGTGGGCTTTTTGTTACGTAAGCGTGGACATCTCCCTATGTGCAGCTCTTCATGCTGTTCTCAGTAACTGGGGTTTATCTGTTTGTGAGATAACACATGTAGAACTGCTTGACTTCATTCTTCACATCGCAACAAGACGCAGATAAAACAAACTGTTGGTACCGGCAACAAGTACAAACTTGCCTTAGTGAAGTCCTTATTATTTATGAATGAAATATTCTTAACTCATTTCATGTACATTAACTGAAAACAGCAGCATCTGTGCCTAACAGAGTTGGGTATAATGCGTTACACAGTAGACTGTAATCGGATTACTTTTCCTGGTAACGCAGTAATGTAATGCGTTACATTATAAATTTATGTAATTTGATTACAGTTACTAATGTCAATCAAATTACGTTACTTAAGTTACAAATGCAGTGTTAAAAACATGAAGTAAAAATCATGTTTTGCGCGTCAGTATGCCCTTTCATAAATCACCGGAGATTGCGAGCTAAAATGCAGATGAGTCCTACAACATTTAGATTTAATGACAGGTTGCTTATCATACTTAAAAATGTTGCACTCGATTTCAGATATTTTAGTCTGGCATTATAGATTGGGAAAAGTCCAACAAGTGAATGTGTACAAGTTTATGTCACAGTAACACATAAGTAAAAATAAATGACTCATCAGAATGAGCTCCTCCGCTGGATTAAGCCGCTTCGCATCGCATTCTTCTTCTGAGGTAAATTCAAGGCTTATTCCTCACAGCGCGTCTTCTTCCAAAAACGAAAGGTGGCCGAGTAGCGCATCTCAAGCCTGGTTTCACGTGGACGATTATCTTATAGAGCGCAATGTGCGCATTATAGAGCGCATCTCATGAACACTTAACAATAACTGTGGAACACACACTATTTATTCACTCATACACTTATTTATCTAACACACATCCTCAGTCTACACCTCAAATTTGCACATAATATACAGTACCTGTACATGCAAAACTGTCTATTGTAATATACCTGCACATACAACTGTCAATTTATATATTTTTATTCCTTATTTACTTGTTCTATTTTTTATTATCTGTGTTTTTTGTTCTGTCACTGTCATTCTGTTACACTGTGGAAGCTTCTGTCACGAAAACAAATTCCTCGTATGTGTAAACATACCTGGCAATAAAGCTCATTCTGATTCTGATTCTGATTCTGATTCTGATGTGTGTGGGCGTGATCACATTATAGATGAGCTCAGACTGGAAAGACTGTACCTCGCGTTGGTTTCATACGGATTATTTTATCAGAGAATATTTGTTTTCAACATGCCTTACTTCATTTGAAAATAGACACTGCAAGCTTTCTTTAGAAATATTTCTCATGTCATCTTCGTTCATTTTAGTGACTCGTTTCAGGAAGATATAAGATATTGGCTTGATAACTTGAAAAGCAAAGTAAACTTGAAAATAACTTGAAAGTAAAGTAATTAGTAATCTGATTACTTTTTAAATGCAGTAATGTAACCAAATTACAATTTTAAAGAAGTAGTTAGTAATTTGTAGTGGATTACTTTTTTTGAGTAATTTACCCAACACTGGTGCCTAATATTCTATATTTCATAAAAAAAATGATTATGGGACTTTCAAGAAATCATATTATCTGATTTAAGGCCTAATGTGTCAAGGCTTTTTTTGTGCCAAAATGGGTAACAGCGACAAAAACTAGAAAATATTATTGCACCAAGCTACGCTATATTTACAGTATAAGCTACACTATATGTAGGGAAGAATTTTGTATCACCAGTGTTGGGGGTAACGCATTACAAGTAACACGAGTTACGTAATCAGATTACTTTTTTCAAGTAATGCATTACTTTTTAATTTACAAGAAAATAAACATAAACAGTTACTTTTTCAAATAAGTAACGCAAGTTACTTTTTTTCCCCAATTTATTGATTGACAGCTCTCCTGTCCCCATGTTGAGAAATCAGAAGATGTTACTGTAGTTCTAAAATAAATATGAATATGCATGAATTCATCTCACTCACAAAAAAAATTAAAAAACACAGATTCAGTATTCCTCAAAATGAATAAAAATAAATAAGTAACATAATTAGTTACTTTTTTATGGAGTAACGCAATATTGTAACGCATTACTTTTAAAAGTAACTTTCCCCAACACTGCGTATCACTGATCACTGCAACGTTTTTTCCTATAACAGAGTTATAGGTTGAGGTCCATATAATTATAAACATAATGTAAAAACTGACAAATACTGCAAAAAAACAAAAAAAAAACTTGATTGAGATCATTCCCTAAGTTATACAGAGCCCTTCAAATAATGAGACTGAAAGAAAAAAAAAATGTAATGCTTTTCACAAAACTTAGCATTTAAATATATATGTACATGTATATGTATACAGTGAAAACATGATATTTAAATTAAAATAAAAGCAAAACAGAGGTATAAATATAACAAAGAGGTATATAAATATAGTTATAAATATAGTATAATTAATAAAAAACAATTAAAATGTCATTTTTAATGAATATGGACAGAAACATTGGTTGATATTCTGATGAAAATTGCATTTAAAAATAAATTTAAAAAAAAATTTTTTTAAACTGTTGGTTAATGCACACATCTATATGTCTATTCATTAATTCAGTTGTTCCCTCATTAGTTCATTCATTCATTAATTCAGTCGTTCATTTGTTCAATTATTAAATCAATTATTTGTTTGTTCATTAATTCATGTATTCACATACTAATTTTATACAATATTAGCACAAGCACTTCACCATGTTGCACATTATCTTTTCTGCTTCAGAATGTGTTTGTCTCAATAATTAGGAAAAAGCACAATCTGCTTGCATAGATCTGATGTTTTCCATTCACAGATTTTGTTTGAATTTGAAAATAGCTTTAATATTGCAGTTTCCTATTTCTCAATATGATGATCTAATGCATGAGCTTCAAATGAAACACAAAGCTTCTTCCTTGTACATCCCTCTTTTGATGCTGATGGGCTTGTCCCTCTGTACTGGCCATAGCCAGCCGCTCAGGTATGTAGTGAGCTCACACAGAGTCCTTGTTTGCTCATATAGGTCAAATGCTAAGTGAACTGTGGTGGTGATTGATGAGGAAATCAATCCATGGCTGTTAAGTCCAATTGTGCTTCTGTGTGTATATAATGTCTCCACCATGATGCTGCCCAACATGTTGTTGCGGTAGCATGCATCGCCCCTCAAATGAGCCCGCTAATCGTTTCCACTTTCAGCCTTTTATAGCTGCGGAAGCCATTAGTGCTGTCTGCTTGAGGCTCAGCAGTCTCACTAGAAGTCAGTGGCTAGTGACCCAGGTCTATAAGCAGTGTCCTAGCCTTTTAAAACTTAAGAGAGAGGGGCGCTAACCTTTAACCTGCCTGCCTCACCTCCCACGACCAGAGCTCCCCCTGCTCCGGGACAGGATGTGCCCTCACCGGTAGCATGGTTGGAGGCCCTTGGACAGAGACACTGTCCAGACAGCATGTCTGCTTTAAACATAAAGACTTCGTTAGGGAAAAGTGACGGTTTGGAGAGGGTGTTTATGTTTAGAGAGGTGGTTAATAAACCTGCTAGAATGAATAAAAGATGTGTGAGGTCGAAAAGATCTACAACTATTAATAACAAATTCTAAACGTACACTGGTAAAAAAAAAATTACAAACTAAAATTGACAGCTGTGGTTGCCAGAATACTGTACAAAATACAGTAAAAATTTACACATTTACAGAAAAACCTGTAAATCTTACAGTTTACAAAGTGTAAAAAGGAAAAAACTAAAATAAAAGAGTAAATCCAACAACTTTTACTTCCAAAAACTATACATTAGATTGATCAACAGTTTTTCACAGTAATGCATAAAAATGGTTTTACTGTAAGTTTTTTAGTCTTTTGCTATTAAATTCCAATTATTTTAGTACTTCAAGTTGAGCTAAAGTAAAATATGAAATAATGCATTGGCAACTAGCTGAAATAAAATAAAATAAGTTTAAGATTGTTATATTTTATCTCAGTTATCTCAGTTTATATTTATTTTATAATCATACATTTCAGTTTACATTTATTTTATAATCACTTTATTTAAGTGATGAAGTATTTTAGTTTTAATTATCAGATTAAAGAAAAACAGAAAAAGAAAAAGGTATTTAATAGTGTGGGAAAATATGACTGCTTCACTATTTATTAATATGTGAAAAACGTTTGTCTGCCAAATTAAAGTCATGGTCAATAAGTCTCTTAAAAAATCAGATAAGGTTAGTTCAGGTTGTAAAATTTCAAATGTCATGTAGTGCAACTCTACAGAAACATAATAATATTTTTGAATAAACAAATAAATAATTATTAAAAACGGAAGTTGGTTTAGAGAATACGGGAAGTTATAATTTAGAAAAGGGGCTACTTTTAATCTAGAGTGTATGATCTGATATTGATGTTCTGAACATTTTTTAGTTATGCATAATTCCTGTACTTCCATTTGTAGCACTTCATAATTTTGATGACTTATCTAAACTGTAAAATATAGTAATAATATATCAGTATATATGCCTGATTGTTGTGTAACTGCTGTACATTTTTGCACTGATGTTCTGTCAGACGTTTAGTTTCTGGTTAGGGTGGATAGAGCAGATGAACACAGTTTGTATTATTGTTCTGCTGTCTCTCATCCCAGTGCACACACTAAGTCTCTCCCCCGCTCATGAACCCTCCCACGTTCAGTTTCGGCCTTTGAATGCTGCTAGTCATTGCCAGTACGGAACATATGAACAAAATCCCTTGTTCTTCTTGTTTGTTCATTATGCAACTGGTCGATGTGAATCCATATAATTCATTTGCTTTTAACTGCTCTCTTCTCTGACTGTTGACAGAGACATTAGTGCAGAGAGAAAGAGATCTTTTCCATTCCAAGAGTGGGTGTGTGTGTTCACATCAAAGAGCTCTTCACTGCATTGTGCTCAGTGCTCTAAATGTCCCCTTTATTTTATTACATCTTCAATTTGCTATTACACATACAGCATTCTTTAAAGGGGTCCTAGTAAATTTTTTCAATCATTTTAGTTTTACAGTATAATGCCATGAAAGATTTTTGTGTGCTTATGTCTTCCATCATGTGCAATTCATACAACATCATAAAAAATGTTGAATGTTTAAATGTTGAAATCCTCTGGGATTTTTATTTTTTATTTTGGTAAGGATCTGTAGAGCAATAGATGCTACACACAGTCAGTAACAGCTCAAGGATTGGTGGACCTTCCTTTTTTACTTTTATCATTAGTTCCTCTAATATTTAACGAAAAAATGCTTTTTATGAGATATAGAATCTATCATACTTATTCCAAACAGACATCTCTGAAGTGCAAATGTAAGCATTTAAATGGGATTAAATACAGTAAATATAAAAAATTAAATATGGGAAACGTCTCGGTTACGTATGTAACGCTCGTTCCCTGAAGGAGGGAATGGAGACGTCACATCGGTGACTGACGAATTGGGTTCTCGCCTGAGAGCCCTATCATTTTCGAGTGTAGGATTGTTGTGTAACTGCTGTACATTTTTGCACTGATGTTCTGTCAGACGTTTAGTTTCTGGTTAGGGTGGATAGAGCAGATGAACACAGTTTGTATTATTGTTCTGCTGTCTCTCATCCCAGTGCACACACTAAGTCTCTCCCCCGCTCATGAACCCTCCCACGTTCAGTTTCGGCCTTTGAATGCTGCTAGTCATTGCCAGTACGGAACATATGAACAAAATCCCTTGTTCTTCTTGTTTGATTGGGATCTCGCTTAGAGGGACCAATCTACTTCGAGTGTAAACTAAACGAGCCAATGCACATTGGCATGCGATAATTGCATCCAGCTGCTGCTCGTCACGAAACGAGCATAAGTAGGCAGCAGGTGCAACGCATATTCAGGTTTTCGCTGAGGAGCTGAGCCAGTGACCTGGCGCCCCGCGGTGGTACAGCAACTGTGGCGACGGGACGTGACATCTCCGTTCCCTCCTTCAGGGAACGAGGGTTACATACGTAACCGAGACGTTCCCTTTCAGTCGGTCACTCCGAGTCACGTCGGTGACCAACGAATTGGGATCCCTAAGAAAGCGTTACTGTTGCTGCCCCTTCCAGCGCCCCTAGTAAGCCACCTGGTCCCCCCGCGGCAAATGGGGCGGAAGATAGGACAGGGCTTACGTGGAGAGAGTCTATTACTGTTGTTCCACTAGACCAATACAGTAAGACTTATTGGATAACACTGGGAAAGTGTACCCTTTCCAGGGACGCTGCGGAATCCACATCCTGCCCGCAGGGAGGTATCATGTGGAGATTACACATATGGACTGGGCATTAAGGGCAGTACAACATATGGAATGTCTCTGAGGTGGCTCCGGCCCAGTTAGGAGGGAGGCAACACTGGCAGGGACGGCAGAGCGGAGTCTGCCAAGGGAAAGACACGGGCTCACCAAGAGGGGAACCGTACCGTGGAAGAATACGCACATGGGATCACTGTGGGGATCACAACATATGGACACCTACCCTAGCACAGGGGTCAACCAACAGACGTACTTACAAGTGTTAGGCCTTACGCCGCACGCTCTGCCACGTCCTGTTGCCGAGGGTGATGGAGGAACTCCACAGGGTTCGCCTTGTGGGGAACTGAACTGAAGAGCAGAATAAGCGCACGTATCCGGTCCGTAGAGGGGAATGACACAGCAAGCGAGACACCGAGCAGTTCCTATGGTTTTACTGGCTACTCGAGGCGAGTACACAAGAGGACACTGGCTCTACACGAAGGCTATAAAACCTAGCAAACGTGTTTGGTGTCGACCTTGTACTGATATGCCTGTTCCTCAAACGCAAAGCAGAGAAACGGCCTGTGCCGAGGGGGCAAGGCACGCCTTGGGTTTGATACGCCAAGACGATGGCATCCACTATCCAGTGGGCCAACCTCTTCTTGGAGACAACCTTTCCCTTCTGCAGGCCTCCATAACAGATGAAGAGCTGCTCAGAGGTCCTAAAGCTCTGCGTACGGTCCACATATATGCGTAAAGCGCGAACGGGACAGAGCAGAGCTAGGGCTAGGTCTGCCTCCTCCGAGGGCAGCACTTGCAGGCAGGCCCGTAACCAGCTATGAGGTCAACGATGCCCGGACCTCGGTAAATTTTTCATGTTCAAAAATAACATTTGTTCTTTGAATGACTAATTTGCTGTTAATCTCCTCATATGAATGCCTGCATGACATGTATAATTCAGTTTAGACAGTTTGCAAGAATGTTTAGCGTCCCTGGTATGAAAATGATCGCTGCGAGACGCTGGCGGAGTGATCGAGGCTTGAGAGAGTTGTGAATGAGGGCGCGGCCGCAGCCTCATGTTGCCAGATCCAGCTATTATAAACGTTTTTGGACTTGCCTTTTATCACTTAATTTAACACTTTAGAAAGTTAATAAAGTAGGAAGTTGCAGTTTAGAGTCAGCGATATCTTTATCTTATCTTATTTGCAAAAGATTGGAAATAATTTCGGTTTATTTTTATTTATTATTTTTATAGTTTTTTGTTTGTTTTAGTATCAATATATGGCAACACTTCATAGCCGGCACTTAAACTGAAAGCAATCAAAAAAGCCCATGGACAGGTTTTTGCTGACAGGATACAACATTCGGTAAGGGAAACGCAAAAATTATCATCATATTATCTGTCATAAACATTATCAACGCTGTCAAAAACAGTAGCATTTAACACTAGTACACACAGATCTGTAGAACAAGTAGGTTACAGAATGAAATGAAATACGCAAAAACTAGCCATGAAGAAGTCTATTTTCTGTCATTCAGTATAGTTAAATTTTCACAAATCATGCTATAAACTTTCATAAGAGCACTAGACAAAGTTATTGTAGTTTTGTATTGTTGCAATAAACAACTGATAAAATTATCCACTAAATATAGTAAAGTATTAACAAATTCTGATGCAATACATAGGGTATGATTTAAAAATAATCATCCCTCCAAAACAGAGAAAACATCTTTCACAAACATCTACATGTCTGTCTCCTTTAAAGTGTTTATAGTGTATATAATGAGTTGTATTTGTAGGGGTTATTATAACACAATTCTTTAACACCAACCCCCTGATCCCTGATCCTTGAAAGGCGTGGTGGGAACCTTGGGCACATATCCGGGCCTGGGTCTCAGGATAACGTGAGAGTTAGCCAACCCAAATTCCAGGCATAATTCGTTGACTGAAAATGCATGCAGGTCCCCTACCCTCTTGATGGAAGCCAGCGCAGTTAAGAGCACTATCGTTATCGACAGAGTTCTCAGCTCTGCAGACTGCAATGGCTCAAAAGGGGCCCTCTGCAATGCCGTAAGCACCAGAGGGAGATCCCAAGAAGGTACGGGGTTAGGGCGAGGAGGATTTAGTCTGCTCGCGCCCCTCAGGAACCTGATGATCAGGTCGTGCTTTCCCAAAGACACACCGTCTACAAGATCATGATGTGCGGCAATTGCGGCAACATATACTTTTAGAGTGGAGGGAGACAGCCTTCGGTCCAACCCCTCTTGGAGGAAGGAAAGCACAGCACAGGGTCTTCCCGGTGAGAAGTGCACCATTCAACGAATAGGTTCCACTTCAAGGTATAGACATGCCTCGTAGAGGGTGCTTTTGCCGAAGTGATGGTGTCTACCACCGCCTGAGGTAGATCACCTAGGACCTCCGCGTCCCGTCTAGGGACAACACGTGGAGGTTCCACACATCTGGACGCAGGTGCCAGAGGGTGCCCCGTCTCTGAGAAAGTAGATCTTTCCTCAGAGGAATGCGCCAGGGAGAGGCTGTCGCGAGGAGCATCAGTTCCGGGAACCAGGTCCGGTTGGGCCAGTAAAGTGCAACTAGCAGAACCTGCTCCTCGTCCTCCCTGACTTTGCACAACGTCTGTGCAAGTAGGCTCACTGGGGGAAATGTATACTTGCGTAGACCCCGGGGCCAGCTGTGCGCCAGTGCATCCGTGCCGAGGGTTCCCCCAGTCAGGGAATAGAACAGCTGGCAATGGGACGTGCCTGGAGAGGCAAACAGGTCTACCTGTGCGGCTCCGAAGTGTCTCCATATCAGCTGAATCGCCCGGGGATGGAGTCTCCATTCTCCTGGAAGTGCTTGCTGCCGTGAAAACTCGTCAGCTGCACGATTGAGAAGGCCCGGAATGTAAATGACATGAAGCGACCTCAGATGCTTCTGACTCCATAAGAGGAGATGGCGGGTGAGTTGCGACATACGACGGGAGCGTAGACCACCTTGGTGGTTGATATACGCAACAGTCGCAGTATTGTCCGTACGGACCAGTACGTGCTTGCCTTGTAACAGCATTTTGAAGCGGCCCAAAGCAAGACGTACTGTAAGCAACTCGAGGCAATT